CTCTGTTTAAATTTGACCCAGTATGTGGCTACAGAGTTTCCTTCCTTCCTTCCTTCCTTCCTTCCTTCCTTCCTTCCTTCCTTCCTTCCTTCCTCTCATCCACCCATCTCCTTCTTTCCTTCTCTTTCCTTCCTTCCTTCTTTCTTCCCACCCACCCATTTCCTTCCTTCCTTTCTTCTCTCCTTCCTTTGTTTTCTTCCATCCAGCACCCCCTTCCCCCCCCCATTCCCTACAACGCCCTTGCGCTGCGGTGAATCCTCCCCTCCTGTAGATGTCTCTGCAGAAAGGCGAAAGGGAGGGAAGAATAAACCCCAGCTGGTGGAAAATGGGTTTTCTTTCTCTGCCAGCCTGGGATCCACTCCTCCGTGCATTCGCCTAAGGAGGGGCGGGGGGGGGGCAGCAGGAGGAGAGGGAGCCAGGGCACGACTGGCGAGAACAAAAACTGCCGAGAGGAATTCACGCGGAGAAGGACGTGAACTGAAGATCGATGCCAGGCAGGTATGGCGCATTTTAGTCCCTCTGAAATTCCAGCCCTGCCGACGGAGTAGGGTGGATTCGGATCAGGGCTTTTAAACCGGACCCAAAGGTCGGGCGCCCCCTTTATGCATCGCTTTTCCGTCGGCCACCTGGCACCTCGCTTTCCGAATTCTCCTCTTTGGCACCGGGTTGGTCGATACGAAGGAGGGCAGCCCCGCTCGCTCCGCAATCTGCTGCTTGGGCGGCTTCAGGACGGGCGTGCACCGCCGGGGGGGGGGTTGCCCACACTGAGCTGGCACAGAGTTTGGGGGTTGGGGTATGCTTTCCTGCCCACCCCCCTGAAGTCAGAGGAGGAAGCGCCGGATTGAACACCACGATTTGCCTCTTGTTGTGCAAGAGTGCGACGCCGTCGACACCTCCGCTGTGCAACAGTGAGTTTCCTTTAAAAACAAAGTTTGTGTAGGGGACCCTGCGGTCCCACAAACGTTCCCAAACGATCGATCCTGGGGGAGGGGAGGGGGGATTTAGCAATTGGGAAGTGCCACGTTAGGGAGAGACTTTTGCTGGGGGCGGTGGGGGGGGCGTTCAGCCGAAATCCCCTGAATTTATGATGGGCGCGTGAACTTAGCTCCTGACATCAGTATTTGCGTTTCCTCTCTTCGCGGCACGTTAACCTGCAAGGTGGGTTAGGCAGAGCGAAGTTGCGGCTGTGCAGAGCTGGGAACTCACCCCCCACCCCCTTTCCTTTATTTTGCATGGCTGGGGAGCATGGGAGTTGACGTCCCACCGGAGCAGGCTCCCACTCCTAGCAGGTTGCAGACGGGCCACATTTTGAGAAGTGGGAGCCGACGGTGCCAAGAGACGCTACCCAGCTCTCGTGACGTGGCCCCTTCAGGGTGGGCTTCTACTCTCCTGCCCTCTGTGGGAGGTTTCCAGCTGTTGCTTAAGCAGGGAGGTGTTTTGTCAAAGGACTCGTTGGGCGGCTTTTCTCTTGCAAAACAAGATAATTTGTCAGCAGGTAAATCCTGGCACTCCTGGCCATGCCGGCTGTGGTGTTTCCTGTTTGCTTCCTGGGTACAGGAGGTGCCTTGGCCCTCCAGATGTTGAACTGCGTCTCAAGCATCTCCTGCTAGACGCACTTGGCCGGGAACATCTGGATGACCCCTGGTCAATCCAACCCTGTCTTTGGGTGCTTCTCTTTGGCTGCGGAAATAAACATCTGGAGGACATCTGCCCCGTGTTTCCAGGCATGTTTGCAGAGGTCCGTTACGACGCCGATGTCGACAGGCACAAGAGCGTTGTGCGTATTGAATGGGGGCAGTTTAGCGAGAGAGTGACAGGAGCAGACAGAAGTAGGCCTTGTAAGGCATGGTGAATGGAGCACAGATGTTTTCCACCTCTGCCTGGCCACAGCAAGGTTGAAAAGGGGAACCCAGGAACCGCTGGGGACTTACAACATCCTGTGAGGGTGCAATCTTGTTTTTTTTCTAATGTTCTTTTCCTTTACGTGGTATTCAATTTTTAAAAAATAAACGTTTGCCAAAGGAAGTGCCAGTTTCAATACATTTCAAGTCTGACGCGTAGAGACTTCACAAAAGTTCGGTGCCGTATTAGCTGTAAATGGAAAAGGAGGGGGCGTTCTTCCCACACGGAGTAATTGCAAACTGGAAAACGGCAGGACCGAGTGGCCCTTTTTCCTAGCAAAGGGCTCCTGCAGATGTGCTGGACTCCAACGCCTATCGTTCCCAGCCACGCAACCGCTCCCATCCCATCTGAATGTTGTTTTCTGTTGTTTTCAGGCCTGGGAGAGACTGTTACCCCACTCACAGCTGGAGGGAAATAGGGGTAGCTGTTAGAAAAATGTTTTATCTTGAAGAAAACAGATTTGGTATATTCTTGCAAAATCAGGGCAAAGAGGCAGGGGAGGAGGAAAAACCCACTTCTCTGACCATCTTTGTTTCGTCGTCTCTTTCGGCAGGCCTGTGGCTTGATGGATGTTGAAATCCCACCCCTCACCTGCATTTTCCACAAATACAAAGTTCTCAACTTTGGGCCATGAAACTGGAGGGAAGCAGATTTCTCGGACGTTTATGTGCAAAAGGGAAGACTCAGAGCTGACGAAAACAAGCTAGGAATCGCCTCCACGCTTTTTGCTTAGCTTCAAGGACAAAAAAGAAAGAGTTAAGGTCAATAAAACAGAATTCAGTCTACTAATCAGTTAAGAAAAATTAACGCCCTGAGAAAGACACTGGCGTTTTGGGGGGGGGTGCACGGTTTTCTTTTCTAAGCTTTAAAAGACCTGTGGAGCAAAATCGTTGCCTTTTTAATGTTTTTATTTTACAAGCCTAACTTTATTTTATTGTAAGGATAGCTTCATTTAAAAAAAAAAAAAAGCTTTTGTATTCTTTTTTCTGAAATGAGAGATCTCCTTTTTAAAAAAGTTTGCGCCTGTTGATCGTTGTCCAGACCTGGAACGGATGAACACTGGCAAAAGCAGAGAGGATGAGAAATTGGATTTCCTGGGTTTTAAACAGTTGAGTTTAAAGTTGGGGAGAGAAACTACTGAGAGGGAATGTCCGAAAAGAATCTGTTTGGGGGACGTTGAGGGAACGCAGGAGCCAGCTTAATTTTTCTGTGAAGTTTCAGCATTTTCTGCTGCTGGAAAGAAGAAACTCTGCGCCACATTCCCGCCCTCGATTAAGGAGGCAAGAAGCAAGTTGGTGAACGGCCTTCTTGGGCCCCCGTCCAAAGAAGACTGGGTAGCCCCCTTTGGAAAGCCCCCAAATCCACTTAGGAGAATTTAGAGTTCAGAAGCCGAAGGTGGGCTCTCAGGGAAGCCGCCGGGCGATCTTTCTCGATGGAGCCCGACGTGCCAGCCGTAGAGGAAACTCGGGGGGAGAAGGTATCCACCGAGTCTGGAGCCCCACAGCCCGAGGATGAGGCTGGCGTGGGTGGCGAGAAAGAGGCTCCCGCGCCCCTTCCTGCAGGGAACGGAGAAGAGGCCCCAGCTCGCCTCGGGGTTGACGGTGCTGCCGAAAGCGTCCGGAAGGGGGGCGAGGGGCGGCTTCCCCCGCAGCGGCCCCCTGCCGAAGCAGGCCTC